CTCATGGCACTGCAGTGGTGTGGTTGAATTTTAGGCACAAGGCTGTGTTACACTGAACTGTCTCACTAAAACCACTGGAAAATGTCCCTTGCCATGAGCAGGAGCCCATCTAGTGCACGTGCAGGATTCGAGCTCTTCCTTTGCCCGTGTGTTGTGTGTGTGCACGTCCGTGAACAGGCCCTTTCCCAAACAGAGGGCACACGCTCTGCTCTGCCTCCTTAGTTTGCTCTTCTAGGGACCTTTAGGAATCTCGACCAGCACTGCTGCGTCCTGTTGTCTATAAACACATGCAAAGACCTGCCCTTTGCCCAAATGAACTTGCCTTTTGAATCTAATCTTCTCTCTGAGTATAAGCAAGGTTATTAGTAGATGAACATCTTTGTGGCCTCAGATAATATGAAAAACATTTAGAAATGTGTTCATCCGTCAGAATGGTTTATGTAATGCAGTCTGGCTTGGATATTCCTAAACCAATTAGAAACACTCGTTTTGTACATATCAGTGTGTCTTCAAGCTATTTTCTAGCTCTGATAGCTTTTTTTTTTTGTTTTCTAGCTCTGATAGCTTTTTTTTAATCATTTTGATGTATTTGATCAAGGGAATAGTCTGTTTTGCTTATCCTACGGTAATACATACATTGCATGCATATTGGATGCTATTTCCGTATAGAAAAACCTATTGGTTATGAAAAAATTGTGGGTATTTTTCTTCTGCAAGTAAAAGCTGTCAGGCTGTGCTGATGCCATCTCCCTGGGACAGCCTTTGCTTGAAGATGAAACAGAGCTATGTGGCTTTCTCCATCTGCTGCCGTAGTAGGAGCCGCTCTAACTCTGCTTGTTTGCAGCTGATTCGGAGTTGCTGTGCCATCTGCTGATCTGGATTGCAGTGACCTTGCCACCTTCTGCCATCTGGCTCCAGAGATTTGGGTTTAAGAGAATGCTTCCCAGTGTATTTTTAGAAACCACCTCTTTTGAATTAGTCCTATTTAAAAATAATTCACTTTGCAGCTTGTTAAAACCTTGGTCGTTAATGGGAGCAGGGGAATAGCAGAATATAAAATGGCAATGTATTTCCAGCAGTGCATTTTAAGTGTTGTTTTTCCCCATTTTTACAGACCCTAAAATTTTCTAGTAGCAACTTGGACCTCGGCAATAGCAGCTTTTAAACTTCTGACAGTAACCAACTTTTTGTTAGTAGTCTTTTGCAAAGTCTTTGAGAGAAACCTGTAGAAAAACAGTGGCTTGTAGTGCTAAATGGTATTATGTGTCCGCAGGAAGAAAAGGGAGAGCGCTGTTGCTCTTAGCTCTCTAGAAACTGTGGGATGCAGCATTAAAATATATTGTTAGGTTCCCAGCAGCTCCATCTGTTGCGTAAGGTAGGAGTTAGCATGACTCCCCTTCTGGTGTGAACAACAACTGGACAAATAGTTTATGCTGAATCATAGAATTACTTTATTTTAAAATCTATTTTTAAAAGCTGATGAAATTCATTGGTTCTGATATGTAGCAGCCTTCACCAATAGAGAAGAACCACAGCCCAGAGCACTGATTTAATTTTGACACGCTTAAAATGTGATGGAGACTTTGATCTCTTTTTCAAAACCAGACTAATTTGACATAGGTTAGTGACTTAGTAATTTCACAGCTTTACTAGTCATTAGATTTTGCTGTTTGTCAGTGGAGATCAGAAGAATTACCATGCAGTGGTGAGGAGCGCTAAACATGAACCCGTGTCCTCTCTGAGTTTCTGTTGCTGCCGCAGGCCATGCCAAGTCTGGATGAAGCTGTCCCAGCACGACTTTGCTGGTGCTGCCATGGCTCCTTTCACTCGTGGGAGCTCAGGTTCTCACTGCGGGTACAGGATGGTCAGGGTGAATGTTTCTGCACCAAGATAACGGACACTGTAGAAGTTCAACAAGCAGCAGTTTGTATGTAGATGTACCCACGGCCAGCAGTGAAGTTCAGTTGGGTGTATCTGATTAAACACCTTCCCCAGTTCACAGAATCACAGAATGGTTGAGGTTGGAAGGGACTTCTAAATATCATGTAATCCAACCCTGCTCCTCAAGCAGGGACATGCTTGGGTTCTGCTGCTGCCTGGTGCTTGTGGGCGCTTGCAGAACTGATCGTGATGCTGCTTACATGCTGTCCAAGCTAGCTGGCAATATCTTGCAGCTCAGGACAGAGCAGATGGAGGATCACTATATGGTATAAAGCAAATTTACAAATACATAAATGCAATTTAGGTGGTGGGAGGAAACACTTGAAATCTTTCCTTCTTTGCAGTTTTTATTTATAATGGGAGAGACAACTGACATCCAAAGGGTGCCAGGGAAAGGTGAGAGAGCAGAGGTGTTGACTTCTCTTTCCATGCTTATTAGTTGATGTGGTGTCACATCAAGTATGGGCAATGTGATTGCAATCTGCTGACTTCTTGTAGGATGTCTCATGTTCAAAGTCTGTGTTCCTGGGCCTTATTCTGCAAGAACCTATTTCTTTAGTCCCTGGTTGCTACTGCTTCTGCAGTTAAGCTGCTAGAAACTGCTCTACATGTTGAGGCTGTGGATACAACAAAGAGTCTTTGAGCCATTTTGGAGAAAAAAAAGGAAACTGCAGTTGTTCTTCCTAGACTGATGCAGGCGCTGTTTTGTTTAGGTACAGTTGTGGGAGTTGTTCTCTACACTGGAAGGGAGCTGCGCAGTGTGATGAATACTTCAAACCCAAGAAGTAAGGTATGGTAAGGAAGCAGAGCCTTGTACTAAATAAAAGAGAGATAAATTAATAATAATAATCTTCTAAGAACCTTCCAAATGGTATGTGTATGTGCTACAGGGAAAACATAATATGAATATTGATCAAATTCCACAAAAAAGTTTTTCAATTCTACTCTATTTGTGTCTACTTTTTTTAATCAGTGAAATTGTCATTTTATACAGTTCTTTATATATAGATATAATGTTTTGTGTTCTACTCTAGCAAGGTCAAGAGAAGGGATACTTACAGTCTGCAGCTTTTGACAACATGAGTTCATGCATTGCTCTTCATGCATTTCTCAGCTTCCAGAGGATGCAAGTCTCATTTATTGAGCTGATGACAGTTCGGCAGTTTGAACATTTGTGATCTTTTAAATAAAGAGAAGCTGCTTATTAATTGGGAATGGCTCTTTGGACATAAGAATTTGTTCCTTTTGTGAATACTGCCCTGAGCTTACATCTTCACTTGTGCGATTGAGATGTCTCTCTGATTTGCTTAGATTGGTCTCTTTGACTTGGAAGTGAACTGTCTCACCAAAATCCTCTTTGGGGCTCTCGTGGTGGTCTCACTCGTCATGGTGGCCCTTCAGCATTTTGCTGGCCGTTGGTATCTTCAGATCATAAGATTTCTCCTCCTCTTCTCAAACATCATTCCAATCAGGTAAGGCGCTTGCTATTTTTTCCCAGGAAAACATTGCTTCTTTTGCATATTCCTCCATGTTTCTTATACAAATAGACATTTGAATTCTTACCAGTTCTTCATTTGGTAACTGAGCAGATCCAGAAACAGAAATCTGATGAGTGTTTAAACATAGGTATTGCTTGGTTGTTCCTGCTAAATTCATCTAGCACGTTAGCCTGTTTGCTGTTGATGCTCTGTAACTTAAGCTATAGCTTAGTTATTTAAGGAGGTAGCAGCTTGGTTTTCCCCAGGGTGTAAGTGCTTTGGTAGAAATTAGCAAGAGACAGACTTGTAGAGGCTTTGTAGCTCCCAGAGAATGTGATGCCAGGGGAAACTGAGTGCAAAATGAGGCTGGAATATCTTTAGAAATAATAGACCGCAGTGCCTGGTGCAGGCAGACCTTTTTCACTGTACAGGTCGCCTGGTTTCTCTGATGAGAAGAGCAGAAAATGGGCAGAGAGATGTCACATTTATACAGTATCGCCATATTCTATGTTACATAGTGTAAGACTTTATCCTGTCTTGATTTATACTGTCTTTATATTATCTTTGATAGGATATGGAAATTGTAATGCTTAATTACGCTATACTCATATTCAAACTGTTACTTTCAGTGTAGGTTTGAATTAATTTCAGTTCCATTTTTAACCTGCTGTCTGATCATCAGTCATATTGTCCTCTCTAAAACATGTTCATCTTTCTCTCAAGTTATATCTTCTTTGACCTTATCACTAGAGCAATGCACAGCTTTTTTCCCTATTTGCTACTTGGCCACTCACTTTGAATATATTTCTCCCTCAGCAACCTGTTTGGCTGCTCCATTTTGGTATGCAAGACCTGTCCTTTATTACATTGTGGAAGTTCATGATGGTTTTATCCAAAGCTTCACTGCAGATATGTTTTGTTTTTCTCTTTTCCCTTCCTCCTGTGTAGTTTACGTGTGAATCTGGACATGGGGAAAATTGTCTACAGCTGGGTGATCCGCAGAGATTCCAAAATCCCTGGGACGGTCGTTCGATCCAGCACTATTCCAGAGCAGCTGGGGCGGATATCCTACTTGCTCACAGACAAAACAGGTGTGTATCCAGAGAACACAGTTTGGACTCAAGGGAAAACCTTCCCCTCTTCAAGTTGTTCCCAGAAATTTTCTTTGGCTCTGGCAGTACCAAAACTGGGTCCACACATTCTTAGTTGCATTGACTTTTGGGTAAATAACCTCATTTTCCCAGCTGTAGTGAAGTGCACCACTGTTTGCAGGAGAATCTGCCCTCAGGTTCATGAGTGCCAGTGTTTTCCCAGGCCTCACCCTGCATGGAGAGCTCGGCACGGTAACCAGCTGCACTCCTGGCCCAGTTTCTCTTTTTGATCTGGGGTACAGTAAGGGGCAGAACTTGCATTGGGGAGTAATGTGGTGGTTAACACTCAGGCTCTGGTGCCGGTTTGCTTACAGGAACCCTTACACAGAATGAGATGGTTTTTAAAAGGCTTCACCTGGGGACAGTAGCTTATGGACTGGACTCCATGGACGAAGTGCAGAGCCACATATTCAGTATATACACACAGGTAAAATTAAATTGACTTACTTAACTCCATGTTCACAAGATAATTTTCTAGGTCACTGGGCTACTATTGAATTAATGTGACAGGGACTAGCTATTAAATTTTACTTTCTGGAAAAGTATGAAGGTCACTGCATGCTTAACACACAAATACTGTCACAATTGTTTATTGCATTTGTAGATTGTTTCTACAGCTAACAGCTTCAACTGCTGACTTTGGGGGCACTTATTAGCTGTTTGAGTTTCTCTAAAACGTGATTCCACAGATGCAATCTGCAGTGCTTAGTGATGGGTTAATATTTCCATGTTGTAAGCCAAGCATTTTCAATTCTTAATGCTTGTGGAATTGCATCATTCCTACAGTTACTACAGAGATAGTTTACAAAGTGCCTGTGCTTTTCCTTCAGCAAATGCATCTGAGGTGGTAGCCTGTATTTTACATACCACATTGTTTTTGTTTTGCTATAAAGACTGTAGATTTAAGTGTACTTTCTGTGCACCCTATGTTAAAACATGAAGCCTGCACTCTCACCTGGGAAAAGGCACTCTGTACTTTCTAGTTAGGCCCTTGGTTTTGGATTTTTGTTCATGGTGAGGGAAGATGCACAGCAGTTTTCCTTGAACTCAGTAATCTAGTGCCCAGATTTTTCCCCAGTCAGACTATGATCTATTTTTAATTAAGCATATGGCAGCTGATAAATATCTGGTATTTTGAGTAATTATTTTTTTTCACTGGCATGTGTCTCAGGTAGCATTTTCCAACAACACAGTCTTTGTGTGAATCGTGAGACTAACTACCTAAGGCATCTCTCTCTTCTACCTCTGCACTCACAACTTTCGTAGTGGCTGCTGCTTTTCCTCGTGTAGAGACTCCAGAATGACTGAACTGTACATTTAGTGTAAAACACATTTCGGATCTAGTGGCCTCCATTTCTGTATTCAGTCTCCAGAGGGCAAAAACTTGGCTAGTTGTTAATTACTTTCCAAAATATTCAATATTTGTCAAGGACATTTTGAATGGGACCGAGGCCAATGTGTAAATAGTGCTATGTGTCAATTTAAGTGCGCTTCAACCATGAGTTTACTGTCTTGTTTTGGTTAAAGGCCTGTCAAAATATTGCTACTCATCATCGCTGTTATTTTTGAAGATCTTATGTTACTTAATCACTAGAATTTGAAAAATAACATTTCATTTTGTGCAATTAATATTGGTAAAGAGTATGTCTCATAAAGCATTTGTCATGATAAAGCTAGTTTCCTTATAATGAGAAGCATTTGCTGGCAATGATTCATTTTGAACTGTAGTTCTTATTCTTTACTCTTATTTTTACCATGTTGTGGCCTTTGACCTGGAAGCGAAACTTTTGTCCTCTTGACACTAAAGGTTAACAGAGCAGGAAACTAGATCACTGTGTGTCCCCTCTTCCACCAGGATAATTTAGTAATTGTGCAATTATCTGAGAAGTCCCATTCTGATACTAAAAATAGTATTAAAAATTAAATGAATGCAATTAAGATTTTCTAGATCCATACGAGACATCTGTTTTCTGTTATCAGCAATTATATGCACTTACATGTGAAAACCCAGTTGACTCTCAATTTCCAGAGCCATTGCTCTTTTGTGGGGCAATGAGTAGTTTCGCTGGGTCTTGTGCAACTTTGATCTTTCACTCATCTTTGTTTCATGGATCTGCAACAAAGGGTTATTTTCTCCATGAATCTCTTGGGGTGCTTTCCTCCACCTAGAACACTATGGCTGCGTTAGGCTGGGGAGCGTTCCTGGGATGGTAGCACAAAGGTACACAAAGAGTCCACCTCCATCCAAGGGACATCATAAGAGTCCTCATGGACTCATACTTAGATGGTCTTCATGGAAGCAAGTAAAATCAGTTTTACTAAGAGTCTCTTCCACTTTCCTTTTCTATAAGCAACCTCAGGACCCACCTGCTCTGAAAGGTGTCACCTTGGCCACCAAGGTGCGAAAAACCATGAGCAGCCGAGTGCACGAGGCGGTGAAGGCGATCGCCCTGTGCCACAACGTCACTCCGGTGTACGAGTCCAACGGCGTCACGGACCAGGCCGAGGCCGAGAGGCACTACGAGGACTCCTGCAGGGTGTACCAGGCTTCCAGCCCTGATGAGGTCAGAATCCATTTGGGTTGATAAAAACATAATTCCAGTTTTCCTTGTTGCACAAAAAAAAAAAAAATCTTTGAAAATATTTCATGTTGGTTGCATGTCTTGGTTGCAACTTTTATAATGCAACCAAGGAAAAACAATTAGTTTTCTATTAATTTGTGTAATTATACTTGCTCTTCACCATTAAGAAACATGAAATTTTCCATAAGAATCCTGTCAATGATATACTGAGATTGTGTCACCGATTTGTCTGCATTTGGCCGCTTGGCCAAAAAGGCCAAAAAGCTGCTTGGCCTTTCTCCTCCTCCATAGATGTGCCTGCAGAAACAACGAACACATCTTCTCTGGTTTTACAGCTAACATAAATGTGCAGGGAGGTTGGACTAGATGATCTCTAGAGGTCCCTTCCAACCTTAACGATTCTATGATTCTGTGATACGACGTGTGCGTGCGGTTGCCTTCGCGCTGCAATCCGGTTCTGCGTCGTGCTTACCTGCTTTCCTCCTCTACTGTGTTCCCTTGCCCGTAAAGGGAGCTTTACAGAAAGGAACTGTCTCTGGATTGAAATGAGATCTGAATGACTTCCAGATGGTAATTTTTGTGATCTGGATTTAAGGTTGTGGGATTTTTTTTTTTTTCTCTCCCATAATGCATATACTGACTATTTATACACAGATCTTCTGTTTATTTACTTGTATACTGTGGTATGTAGTGAAATCAGTAATTTTGATTTTCCTTTTTTTTTTTTTCCCTTTGTGCTCATTTGTCTTTCAGATATTTACAGAGCAATTTGTTTAAAATACCTCAAGTTTTATTGTTTGTTTGTTTGTTTTGTTATAACACGATAACTAACTCCTCCAAGATTATTGTTTATATTCTTTTTTCTTTCTTGTGATGCCTTAAGTAGAGAATTACAGCAGATTCAGAAATCAGATATGCTTTGCTGCACTTAGGACATTTTGTCTGTAGCTCTTAGATATACAAATATTGTTTAGACATGCTCTGCCTGTGTCATACTAGATGGTAGAAAATGCAGGATCAGCACAAATGGAGTCCTTGAGATGAGAGCAATGCTGTTAAATAACATCCCCTGTAGGGGAATGGCTTTGGACTCCTGTTAAAGCCAGCCTTTGAAATCCTATATCAATAAAATATTGCCATGGCAGGGAAGGTCAGTTTATGAAATGAGTACAAAAACTTGTATTCTCTTTACTTTAACGGCAAGGGTAATTTCTACCAGTTGGCATAGGATTCATTTCCTGTAACAGAAAGCAGGATTTCCTAAATTTGTTTCCTGTGCATGCTGCCATTTAGAGCTCTTGAAGTATCTTTATTCAGATATCGGTTACAGCCTTGGGGCTTTGCAAGCGTGTCAGTTGTAGCCATACAGTAACTAACAGGGGAAATGAAATAGATATAATCTGATGGGAGATAAGAGCGCCCGGGATTCCCGGGCAAACAGTCTTTAACCCCCACAACGTCCCGCAGCTGCCAGGACATGAAAGGGTGCACCGAGCCAGCGGCTTCTGCCCTAAATGGGACATTTGTCGAGCAGCTCATAACACAGAAGGATCAATTTGTCTCTTTAGAATGAAATTTATTAGTCGATATCCATTTCAGCGGCGGCTGGGGTAATTTAATTGTCAGAGTGAAGTTTGGGGGCGAGGATGCCAGGCTGCGCCAGGCTGCCCTGGCCCTGGGAATGCAGCAAGGAGATGAACTGATTTCTGCACGTTGGTGAGCAGGGGCACTCTGGATGTGCGAGGGGCTTCCAACCTGGTTGAATCTTACTTGTTTAAGCCGTAAAAATATTTGTTCATATATCGTCTTCAAATACTTCTTTTGCAATGCCTGGGAGCCCGTGCAGCTACTTACCTGCTTAAGCGGTGCAGAATAAACGCCCGCTGTCCTGGGCTGCTCTGGAAACGTCCCCTGCCACGCGAGGGTTCCCACCCGTGCCACGACAAGGCTGCCCTTTGCTGCGGTCACTGGCTGCTGGCACAGTGGTGCTTTCTACAGGCAAGGTCCTGGTGTGTCACACGTTGAACAGGGATGGCCATTGAAACGCTTTCAGTAGATTGGATAAACGCTTCTAAATTACGTGATTTTCCCCCTCCGTAGTTATTCATCAAGTGCTACAGAGGCTGCAGACTGGCGTGTTGAAGGGACCAGCAGTGCTTGGTCTGAGCTGCTCCTGGATGCTGCTCACCTGGGGTCTATCGGAGGCTGAAAGAAGAAATGCTGTGGGACCAACAGCCTGGGAAGTGGGGAATTTCCTTCATTATCCTTCCCCTTCTGCTAGAGTGTGTTTTTGGAGACTTAGTGCCATCCAACATGAACAGGGTCGTGCAATGCAAGGTCTGTCACAGACAGATGACATAGCACGTATGGTGAACTACTCTCCCATTTGTTACTCTGCTCAAAGCTTATTTTTGGGGGAGGTTTAAATACTTCTTGACATGGGATTTAAATGAGATGCCCAGCAGGGATGGAGGGAGGAGATGCTTGTCAAAGAACTTCGTAAAAATGCTTTAATAGGCCGAGTTGGGAGCAGGGATTTGTCCATGCCCTACCTTATGGGCATGGACACTCAAACATCTAGTGCTGTGTGTGCTGAACAAATGCCCGTGTGACATTGTGCCGTGAAGGAGTCTCAACAATTATTTATTATCCAGAGCTGCAGAAGCATCTCTGCTCTGGAAAACTGCTAGGAGAAATTGCTAAATATGCACCTCCTTAGTCTAATGGTGTTTTCAAGATACCTTGGAAAAATATAAGCTTGGAAGATTCTATGACATTTGTTCTAACCTTTGAAAATATGCCTTCATATTAATATGTTAATATAAATTGATTTAAAGGTCTTTTAGAGCAAAGCCAAATCAACTATTTTTCTATCTGATGATTTAAGACTGTCTGAAGAAATAAAAAGTCCATTATAGGTCTGTCCATTAAACTGGAGGAGCATGATAGAAATATCCTTTTTTTATTGAAGAATGTAAACTGGTAATAACTCTGGGGAAAGACACAAGAGATGATGAGATGAATCTGGAAGGTGACTTACTCCACTGTGCATTAGCGTTTCTGGCTTTGAGACTTGTAAATGCAAGGTGAATGCAAAGCTTTTCATTTGAAGTTTCAGAGAGCAATCTGAAGGAGCATGTTCAGGAAGTAAGTGGCTTTTAAACAGGATTTCCCAAGCCTAGGTTTGATATCTGTAGGTTTGTGCAGAGGGTATCTCTTCCTTCACTTCCCAAGGGGTTTCCCTTCGGAGCGTGTAGCTGAAGGAGGGCAGGCAGTGCCCAGAGCACCTGGGTACAAAGTGCACGATGAGACACTGAGGGTTCAACGGCCTCACCCCAAAGGGGTCAGTTTTGTTGGGAAGTTTGGACTGGACCCAGGTGCTGTAATCGAAGCAGTGGTTTGAGTGCTGGAGCTAGGCTGGCTGGTGTTGAGCTTTTTTGCTCATGAATGTGAACAACTTTAGCCTGTGATAAAGCACAAGTTTGAGAATAAGATTATATATTAATGATTTAGTCCAAGTGTTACAGTAGTTGTTTTAGATTGCCAAAGTAAAGAACTATTCAGCCCTGCGAGGAATAAACTGAATACTTCCTCATGCTTTACAAGAAGTTAAATGCTACAAATAGGTGTGATTATACAAATGAAAACAAAGATAAACCTTTCAGTGAGCCTACGAACAGAGTAAGCCAGGAAACAAAAAAAAATTTTTTTTTTATATGTATACACATAAACACTTCTCTCAGGTGCTGAGCTTCCACGTGGCTCTTGGGCTTTGCCTGGCAGTTTGTCTGTCGTCCTGCTGTCCATGGACTCCTGGTTCTCTTCCAGGAACCTCCCTTGCTCCCAGCTGGGGTGACGCTCGTGGTCCTGTCCCATGGGCTTGGTGCTGGAGCCGCTGCCATGTTCGGGTCGGCTCCTCCACCGACACTATTTTGCCTTTCACGTTGTTCTCCTGACCAAAGGGGACGTGGTGGCCTGTGCCATAGGTTGCACCATCCGTAAACCCTCCCCTGGCTGGAGCGAAGCTCTGTCAGGGCCGGGCCCTAGGGAAGACCCTCGGGAAAAACGCACTGAAGGGATCGCTTGTTCTCCTCATGTGGCCGAGGTAGGAATCGGATCAGCTCCATCGTGCCCTTAATGACTGAGGAACTTCTTTTGCAGCTACAACCCGCTGTCCCTTCCCTTGTGGCGCTCCCTGCCATGACCTCTGCCCGCGGCCCCAGCAGTCCCCTGACCTCTTGCCCCACTTGCCTTTAGGTGGCCCTGGTGCAGTGGACGGAGAGCGTGGGCCTAACGCTGGTGGGCAGAGACCAGTCCTCTGTGCAGCTGAGGACACCGGGCGGCCAGATCCTGAACTTCACCATCCTGCAGATCTTCCCCTTCACTTACGAGAGCAAACGGATGGGAATCATCGTTCGGGTAAGCGGCTGCGGAAAGGTCCCTGGGCATCTCCTGCAGCCGGGGCATGAGGGTGTGAAGTGGTGCTCCTCCTGGGGGGACTTGGCAGCAGCTCTTATCTCTTAAGGTTATAAACTGCTGCTGGGTTTTCACAGCTCCCCATTGCTGTGATCATCTAATTTCTCCTTCCCCGTGTTGTGCCACACGTGCTGTTCGGTGTCCTGTGGCACACAGCGGTGCACTGGGGAAGGGAAAGGTGAAGCTGAGGAATGCAGT